GATTCCGGTTTGAATAATACCTATTTTTTTTTTTTTTTCGAGAAATCGTGGCCGATCTCATTCGGGAAAGCGAATAATGGCCAATTCTCGATTTATTTGTCGGGACTCGAATGTCGTTCGATGCAAAAAGAAAGGAAAGAATAACGCGGACGATTCACGCTGAGAACGCGGCGTTCCACGTTAAGGAACGTTTCTTCTTTTTTTCTTCTTCTTCTTCCGTGGAACGAGTCAAATTAACGATCGATTCTGTCGGATAAATTGGCGAGGGATATATACGTGTGTCATCTATACTTCTGAAGAGGATGTCCTATAATCATAGCCTTGTAGTAAATGAGTCGTTCAAGCGTTATAGATCATATCATGAAAGAGACAAAGAGATAGCACGTACGTTTTGTTTTTTTTTTTTTTTTTTTCGTATTATATCGTATCGGCTATATCGTAGAAACGAGAGATATTAGCATATGTTACAACCGATATTGCCAAAATATCTCCACTCTATCTCTCGAAAATCTCTCTAATCCCCGAAAATAGTGGTACAAGTGTGTACATTCTTAAATATCGATCGTCTACTACTTTATGGTTTTTCTTTTTTTTTTTTTATTCTTCGCGACAAGTTTCTCCTTGCCATTGTTTTTTTTTCTTCCTTCTTTTTCTATCCTAACCTGCACAGGTAATACGCGCGAAAGTAATACGCTCACTACGGATAGAATCGCTACTTGTGGTGCAAAAGTAAAAAGCTTATAAAAATTCGATCGTGTATGTATGTATGTAAGATCCGCGCTCTAAAAATTCTGCTCTCTAAAAAAAGGCTCGATCTAACATTCAGCTTTTTTTCCCCCTTTCGACTATCGTCGATAGATCGTTATGTGTATAACCCTTGACTGGTATCGTTGGCATTTTCTTAAGCGACATTCTTAAGCCGATCATCCATTGAATTTATAATATAATATCTCTTTGTATGTCACGACAGATATAAATGATATTGGCGGCACTTATCCTTATTAAGCGAAATTCGGAATAAGAAGTTCGAAAGCGAAACAAATGTACGGGATTCGCCGTGAATCATCGAACGATACCAATCGAGCGTTAAATCGGGCGTAAAAAGGCGTATTGTTCATCCATTCGTTTCTATTATTTACACGCATAATATTTCGCGATCGAGATCGATAAAGGGGTGCGCGCCATGCGATCGTGAAATCATCGCTACCACTAAATCAATTATTATATTGACGCATTGGTCAACGCCAGTATCTACAGTAGATCGAAGATGAGCTATACATGGTACAACATTTAGAATTCAATCACCGATCGAATATAAGATCTGATCTTATAAGGATTATTCACGAATGAAAGGTGTCTTTTAACAAACGTTTAAAGAAAGACACGAGAAGAAAACGAGAATAGGATTACAAAGAGATCACTTATACACTGAGCCTGTGTGACACGTGAAGTTTAATACGAAATTTTTATTGCGTCCTTCGAATTTTACATGCGAAAAAAATTACTCGTGACAAGGAAAGGAGTTACAGTTTCTTTTCTTTTTTTTTTTCTTTTTTCTTTTTTGTCTACGATCGTCTCGAACCAATCAATCAGAAACAATAATCGTTATTCATCGACGAATTTCGTATTAATTAATCACTATTATAACTTAAAAATATATTTGTCCTTAAAAAAAATACCGTATACATATGCATATACGGTATTTATATACCGCAACGAAACGAACTTACTTTTTTTTCTTTTTCTTTTTTTTCTTCTTCTTCTTCTTCTTCTTAGTTTAGATCGATTATTCGCCATCTTTAGGACGTGTACGACACGAAAAACAAAGGACAAAATTAAAAGAAATGATCGTAACGATAATTCAACAATTCATCGTGATCGAAGCGTTTTCGTTTCGTTCATCGTGCGTACAATGTTGGACATATACAGTGCTTACTACGCTACTTTAGCCACGATCGTTCGAAACGTGCAGTATTCCGATTGAATTTTCGAATTTCTTTCTAACGAATGATACATCTCAGAATTAGGAGAGGAGGAAGAAAAAAAAAAAAAAAAAAAGAAAGTATAACTTTCACAAACAGAAATAGAGTTAGTGAAACATCATGGATAATCGTGATATAATAACTCTTAAAGAGGTTTTTTTTTTTAATTTCTCTTGCATGATAAGATTATTATCGTTCTTGCTCTACAAAGATACTCGACAGGAATATATTTTACGATCTGTAGCTTCGTGTCGAAGCGTCGAATCGAACGGAAAATAAATGATTCGCGATTGAATTAACCGATCGAAAGCCATTGCTAATTCCTTGATCGATACACAGCTAATTAATATACTTATAAATATACTCCTCTCGAGAAATATTTCTCTCTCTCTCTCTCTCTCTCTTCTTTCCTCCCTCCCACCCTCTCTCTCTTTCTCCACATATATACATATGCACATCACACACGCATACATATATGCATACATATATATATATATATATATATATATATATATATATATATACCC